AGAAGGCTGGTGGTTCAAACCCACCAGCCACTCCTCGGAAGGAAGGTTGGGCAATCCTACTTCCGTAGTGATACTGCCTCAGAAACCTAAGGAGGGGTCGCTATGAGTCGGGGCCAACTTGACGGCACATAACAACAACAACAACAACAATGTCCTCCAAGTTCACCCACATTATGCGGTGTTTTGCAGATTCTAGGTTATTCTTCAGGGCTGCATAGTAGTCCATTGTGTGTATGTACCATAGTTTGGTTATCCATTCCTTAGCTGAGTGACACCTAGGTTGTTTCCAACTTTTGGCTATTGCCCATCAGCATTCTTTAAGGATATGGAAAAACCAATCATTAATTTTATACGGAAAGGAAAGAGACCTTGAATAAACACAGCACTATTGAAGAAGAACAACAAAGTATGAGATCTCATACTCTCAGATCTCAAAACCTACATTCCAGCCACAGTAGTCAAAACAGCTTGGTTTGTTTTGACAGACACATACACCAGTAGAACAGAAATGAGAACCCAGAAATAGATCCATCAACCTATGGTCAGCTGATTTTTGACAAAAGGCTGAAATCCATTAAATGGAGAAGAGATTGTTTAACAAATGGTGCTGGCAAAACTGGATATCCATTTGCAGAAAAATGAAACAAGATCTTTACCTTACACAAAAACTAACTCCAGATGGATCAAAGACTTAAATGTGAAACCTAAAACTATAAAGTTCCTCAAGCAGAAAAATAGGGGAAAGTTTAGGGGCCCTAATTTATAGCATAAATACTGTCAAGCATAACCCAAAATGCACAAACAGCTGAAGATAACCTAGATGATTGAGACCTTCTAAAAATTAAATTTTTATGTGCTTCAAAAGACTTCTCCAAAAGAGTAAAAAGTACCTACAGATTGGGTAAAAATATTTGGCAATGACATATCTGACAAGGGACTTCTCTCTAAAATGTATAGAAAACTCCAACACCTCAACAACAAAAAGATTAAATATCCATTGAAAAAATGGGCAGAAGATATGAAAAGACACTTCACTAAAGAGAATATTCAGGGGGTCAGAAAATACATGAAGAAATGCTCATGATCATTAGCCATCAGAGTGATGCAAATCAAAACAAAAAGATATCATCTCACTGCATCACTAATGGGAAAGTTCAACAAGACAGAAAATAACAAATGCTGGCAAGGATGTGGAGAGATTGGGACTCTCATACACTGTTGGTGGGACTGTATAATGACACAACCACTGTGAAAAGCTGTACCGTGATTCCTTAAAAAGTTACAATTCGAAATACCATTTGACCCAGCCATTCCATTACTAGGTATCTATCCTCAAGAAGGGAGAGCCAGGACAAGAACAGATATATGCTGTGGTAGTTAAGTTTGTGTGTCAACTTGGCTAGGCCTGGTTGAGTGACTGGGCAGCTGGATGTAGTATTCCCCATGATGAGACTGGTAATCAACTCCATGGTGGAATCTACTGTGAGCAGCTGAGTAGCAGCTGCCTTTGGGTATGTGGTCTGTTTCCTGTAAAAAGAAGCAGCTTTGGGAATGGTCTCTAGCTTATGGCACACTTGAACCCTGCATGTAGCTGTGTTGTTGTTCAGCAGCCTGCCATGCTCTGCTTGGGACTTTGAATGGACTTGAGTTAATAGCCAGCCATGTGGTTTGGTAACATCGGGACTATGCCTTTCTACTTGTGAGCCTTGGGTTTGTCAGGCTCAGCAGCCAACAGCTGTCTGAGTGAAGAAAAGCCTCTAGCTCCAGTGGGCCAGGAGCAGGAGGCAGAGCTGAACCCCAAGGTTGAGCGGCTTTCACCCAGCCCCTAGAGACTAGCATTTTGAACTTGAAGTTAAAGTCTCCAAATTGTAAAAATCCTGTTTGTTAAAGCCATCCCATTTGTGGTATATTCCTGTCAGAGTGGCACTAGGTAACCAGAACATATGCACACCCATGTTCATTGCAGCACTATTTACAATAACCAAAAGATGGAAACAACCTAGGTGTTCATCAAGTGAAGAACAGATAACCAAACTATGGTACATACACACAATGGAATATTATGCAACACTAAAGAATAATGTAGAATCTGGAAAACACCGTATAACATGGATGAACTTGGAGGACATTATGCTGAGTGAAGTAAGTCGATCACAGAAGGACAAATATAGTATCAGTTCATTACTGTAAAAAGTCAAAGAAAGGTTTATATATGGAAGGAAACTTTCTTGGTTGGTTACCAGGGTGACAGGGGAGGGGAGGGAACACTGCAACAAAAAAAAAAAAAAAAAGAAAAAAAATGCATTGACCCATGTCACTTTAGTTTTGTGTATTTCAGTCTACATAAATTATATTTCAATAAAATGTATTAAAAAAAAAAAGTATGTGAGCCATGTGTGTATTAAATACCCAAGCGGAAAAGGTCCAAGTGCTTCTAGCACTAAGAAAATCCAGTTCACTAAAGGAGACAGACCTGAGTTACAAGAGATTACTTTGAATAGGAAGCAATCTGGGGCCATTTAAAATATTTGTTTCCCTACAAATATATCTATACCCAGCTCTTTTAGAACAGATCAACCAGAAAAAGAGAGATCTGCCTGGCTTCCTGAGATATGGACCCTCTTCTGTCTTGCCTTGGTCACTTGGAGCAACACTCCAGCTGCTGCAATTGGAGAGGCTGTCCTTCTTTTCATTGGAGGCTGAGTTCCTGAGGGTGGACATCTGGCTTCTGAGTAGGCTGGTTTTTGTTGGTTCTGTTGATATTACAAGGAAAGGGGTTAAAGGAATTTGAGATGGATAGAGATGCTTTAGTAGAGGCAACTATTTCCTTGGATCCTTAAAAGAAGAATGCAGCTTTTCTTTCCCACCTTAGAAGATGGTTCTGCCACAAACTGAATGCTACAGTAATTAATTCCTCCCTTTATCTGAATTCAAGCTCTGCCCCTCTTGGAGGCAGTCATGGATACACATTTTTAAATTTCAAAATGTGACAAGGCTGCATATAAGACAATTTTAATCAAGAGCAAAAGGCTTGTACACACTCTCTCTTATTATGTGTTTAAATAATAGTAGCAGCTCCTCTAATACAAAAAGTGTCCAGATTCAGAAGATCAAGCTAGTCCAACTTCAAGCTATATGGGTTCATGTCATTAAAACAACTCAATGTACCATGTCATGACAAACAAAAACATAAAACCCCGGGACAAATTAGTGGGAAAGTTTTGGGGCAAACACCTTCCTTCCTTCCTGCTTCCTTGCACTGCAAAGACATATTAGTGGAATCAATCTTGCCCAGGTGGCATTGAAGATGTCTGTGATTGCACCAGCCTGACCAGGGCTAGATGATCTCAAGCAAGCGGCCATCATCTATGACTTTACCCTTTAGCCCTTCCTGCCATGACTATCATGCTAAATTCCAATTCAGCTTTTCTCTGTGATAGTACTTGACTAGATTTTTCTTCCTGGTTCTGAGTTTTGTTCTACTGACTTCACCCTTTGTAAAGTGGTCTGAGCTAACCTTGACTACTTTCCTAGATCTCTCACAAGGCTCTTCCTGGCTGCCTGGAAAGTCTCCATCCCAGGTTCTACTTCCTGAGTCTCCAGGTAATTGAAAAAAAAAATGCCTGACGGCAATATGTCCCATCAGGTTTGCCCAAAGGAGACCTGAGGATGGAGTCTGAGCAGGATGGCCAAATAAAAAGGAAAATTATCCACTCATTTCTACTCTTTGACAAGAAACAGAGCAGAGACCATCATTTAAAGCTGATGAGAGAAAAAAGTCACCTAAAATTACATGAGGTAGTAAGATCGTTAAGTTCTACAGGTTTCTAAATTCTCCTACGACTATTGATAAGACACAAACATCCCAAACAAGGAGACTTTAAGTTGTACAGTATTAGTTTTCTATTGCTATGATAAATTATTACAACCGTGGTGGCTTAAAACACCACCCACGTATTAGCTCACAGTCCTATATGTCAGATGTTTGGACAGCCTCTGTGTTCTTTACTTAGGGTCTCACAAGGCCGTAATCAAGGAGTTGATTGAGCTTGGCTGTTATCAGGAGGCTCCAGGGAAAAATGGCTTCCAAGCCCATTGAACTCATTGGCAGAATTCAGCTCCTTGCAGCTGTAGTACTGCGATCTCTTTTTCCTAGCTGCCTGTCAGCTAGGGGCCTCCCTTAATTTTTTAAAAACCAAACCAACTGACTGCCGTCGAGTCAGTCCCGACTCATAGAGACCCCTCCTTGGGTTTCCAAGATGGTATCTCTATGGAAGTAGATTGCTCAACCTTCCTTCCGAGGAATGGCTGGTGGGTTTGAACTGCCAGCCTTCTGGTTAGCACCCAAGTGCCTTAGGCACTAAACCACCAGAGCTCTCTTTAGTTCCTTAAGGCCAACTTCATTCCTTCTAATGTGTCTCCCTCCCTCTTCAAGCCAGCAATGGCACCTTGAACTTGCTTCTGCTTTAAATCTCTCTTTCTCTTCTGTTACCAGTTGGAGAAAATGCTTTGCCTTTAAGGGCTCATGGGATTATACTGAGCCTACCTGGATAACCCTATCTTAAGGTCAACCTAGGACTCCCTGGGTGGTGCAAACAGTTAAGAATTTGACTACTTAACCAAAAAGTTGGTGGCTTGAACCCACCCAGAGATGCCTTAGAAGAAAGGCCTGGTAATCTACTTTTGAAAGCTCAGCACTTTGAAATACTATGGAGCAATTCTACTCTGGACACATGGGGTTACCATGAATTGGAATTAACTTGATGACAATTGGGGTTTTCGTGTTGTTGTTGTTTTTCAAGGTTAACATAACATAATTATAAAAATGTTGTTGTTGTTGTTGTTGTTAAGTGCCATTGAGTCGTTTCCGACTCATAGCAACCCCATGCACAGCAGAACGAAACACTGCCCTATCCCGCACCAACCCCACAACCCCTGCTATACTTGAGCTCATCATTGCAGCCACCATATCAATCCATCTTGTTGAAGGCCTCCCCCTCTTTCGTCGACCCTCCACCCTACCAAGCATGACATCCTTCTCCAGGGAATGGTCCCTTCTTACAACATGACCAAA